TAAACTATAACTTATAGGGCGTGCTACAAGATGGCTTATTACACCTTTAAGATTATAGGGTTTATAAAAGTTAACATATCACATCATGGATATCCCTAAATATAGTGTATCTTTATTTCATGCATAGGGATAGATAACAGGAGGGTTCATTTTGGGATCTTTTGGAAGTTAAATATTATAATCACTCCCTAAATATACTGGAAGGTCACCAAATAGTAAACTTTAGTAAAAACTAGAATGACGTGGACCAAAGAGACCGGGCTTAATTAATCAATTTTAATTAGTGGAGGGATACAATTGGATTTTTTCAATGTAGTCATACATAGGTGTCATTACCTAAAATAGTTGCATTCAATATTCACTATTGAAGGAGACAAAAAACAATTATGGGTTCCTATCAAACTAACTATTCCTCGAGTTAGATATAGGCATATATCGGACTAACTATAGTTATCATTTGATTAAAAGTGAATATGTCCACACTATCTAATAGGCTAAGGATAGTTATAAGGGAATGATTAACCCGGCTAGTTTGGTACCACTAGGATGATTATAATCACATTATCACCAATACTATGTTGTCGACCAAATCAGATGGGCCATTCATGGTTAAATATTAATCTCAGTATTATGTTTGACAAAAATCTATGAATGCTTAATTATATTAAAGTATCGAGAGGTTAATAATTGAAGATGTCAAGGCCATAATATCCTCCCACTAGGTATTTTAATAGAGAAATCATGTGTCACCCTATTATAATATCGAAAGTATGAGAAGGAAAGTCTATATTAGATTATCTTTCTATATAGAATTTGGTCTAATTAAATAAAGGCAGAGACCACGATGGAAATCCCTAAGGTAATTGATTAACATATGGTCAGTTAGTCATAACTTTATCTTAGCCTCTCCTTTTGCTATTTTACGAGGGAAGATAGGTTACTTACAACTATATGCCCAATGTTTCTATGGATTAAAGGTATGATATTAGATCACTATCACTTATAAGCTTCCTTAATATGGCGACTTCTAATAAATAACATAGTATTTAATCAGTAAATTTATTACTAGTCACTCCCTTATACTTAGCTTTATTTAGATGGCTCCATGGTGTATTGATGAAGGGCCTATGTTGGAATTAATTAGGTGTGCTAACCTGACAAAAAAACAGAGTGAGGTCAAGGGATTATATATTCCCTAAATAAATTAGCTAATAGAATATGAACTGATAGTATCTATATTATAACTATAGGGTAAAAGATATTCAAGCAATCTATGGCCATAGTTAGATGTACAATTACCATAAATTTGTATTATCAATGTCTCTCCAATATTTCTATAATTTACCTCTCCCTCTCCTCTAATTTTTTATTAACAATAATGAATATTTGATTAATAATCCTATACAAGTATAATGTTTACCTCATGCGAGAGATTAGTGGCGAAAAAGTGTCCACCATATTATTTCTCTTTCCTAATAATAAATTCATATATGGGCCAAACCATAATGGTAAATAATAATTAAGGTTTATTGGTGATAACAAGCTATAACACCTAGGATATGCCTCTAACATTATCCCAAGATGTTCCTATAGGTTATTTACTCCATTTATGAGATGGTCCATAGAATAGGTATTATACTATACATATTTTTTATGGTAATAGTATGTTAATATTACATGATCCATAATATGGGGATGACCCTATACTTATATCAATCGTAGGTCTCTTCGATCCTAATTTTATACTTAGTGATAGATCGTAATAGGGTCACATTAATGGGTCAAGACTACTTAGCCAACTAAAACTAATTAATAGTATGGCTTAAAGAGGTCATCCCTATTGTGACGTAAAAGTTATATTATAACGACATGTGAGAATATCACATACATAGATTGATGGGATAATAGTATGGCTTAGAGAGGTCATCAACTGGTTATAAAAGCATGATCCCGAAATTAATAGTGTACATATTTGATTCTCTCTCTATATGAGACTTATGCCCATAATTCCCTCTTATCCTTTTTGTTAACCTTATAGTAAAGTATTAAGACAAGATCCGACCACACCACACATGGAAGATATAAACTCTGCTACGGTGAAGTAGTTTGTTAGAATGCAACTACTTTAGAGATAAACTCCGTTGCGAGTTTGTTAGTTACAAGAACTTCGTGGTAGTAGTTTGTTAATTACTTGTACTCTCTAGTTCTTATCCATTGTATTACCTAGAATTCTCCTCACACTACATTTGTACATATATATAAAGGATATGTTAAAGTCCTAGTAATACAAGGTTGAAAAATTACTCTTCTAGCAACATCACACGTTTCAATTTAGTATCGAGCTTCCTTGGCTAACTGCTACTTTTTTATTCTTCCTACTAGTGTTAGCTACTCGCTCCTCCCTCTTAAAAATATTCCGGACATATTGTCTCCTCCCTCTCAAAAATAATCCCGATTAAAGCTAGCTTAGCTACCGCTCCCTCCTCCCAAAACTATTCCGGATGCTACCGCCTCTTCCCTCCCTAAAAATAGTCCAAGTCGCTTACCGCCTCCTCCCTCCTAAAATACTCTAAACACTACCGCCTCCTCCCCGCCATAAATACTTTCAACCAACACTAGCTACTATCTAGCAATTCCTAGCCCCACCAAATGACTTCCTCTAGCAACAACACCTCTCCTACCACCACTACTGAAACCTGTTTTAACCATCCCTCAACCCAACGCTCTAATGAGTCACCTAACAAACTCCCACCACTTCATCTCCTTGAAACTAACCTAAACAAATTACCTATTATGGCACATTCAACTCAAGCCCTTTGTCCTTGGCCAAGACTTATTTCGATTTGTTGATGGATCTTTCCTTTGCCCCCAAGCCACATTCCAACCTCCAATGGTGGCCTTCCACAATAAAACCCTACCCACAAAGCATGGATCTAGTAGGATCGGCTTCTAATGAGCATGCTCATCTCCTCCCTCTCAACGAAGTGCTCCCTATGGTGATTGATCGCACCATATCTAGTGAGGTTTGGTTCAAACTAGAAAGAGGCCTTACTTCCCCATCTAGCAATTGGATAATGAGCCTATACCTAGCCTTGCAACGGCTCAAGCAAGACCACCATGAACTAGTCTCTATCTTCCTCCATCATGCCAAATCAATTAGTGATGAACTAACGACAGCTTGTTATCCTCTTTCCTTGATTGACTTCAATCTCTATATCTTTAAGGGCCTCTCTAATGACTTCGGGGATGGACTGCCGCCCACACCTACTAATCCTCTATTACCCACACCTCTTATGACTCACATGACACCTAGGAGCTCGGGTTATCAACCCCAAAGAGATCATTACATTAACTTCAATAGAAATCATGGAAGATATTCCAAAGGAAAAAGACAAGGCAGCTCTAACCATAGGTATGGAAAGACCTCTTTTCACACTAAAAATCATAGCTACTTGGAATAACCAAGACAACCACACAAACGATTAGATCTCGCCATACCTAGAGCCATATGGCTATCCACTATCAATAGTGCCATACCAATCAACAACGACCCATCATAAATATCTCAACTTCCTCCACCCCATAACTATGCTCACACACATGGTGTCCTAATACTAATGCTTCACATCATATGACTCCTAACTTGGCTATCTTAAGCACAAGCACATATGAATGATACATGGGTAAGGATCAACTCAAAGTTAGAAACAGTGATTTTTTACCTATTTTGCATATTAGTTTAAGTCATATTAAAACTCTTGCTAAATCTCTTAAATTTCTTAATGTGTTAAATGCCATATAAATAACTCGACCCCTATTATCTCGTGAAACACCTTGTCAAAGACAATGACTTACTTTGGGAATTTCACCCTTCCATGTTTTGTGTTAAAGACCGGGCACACAACACCAAACTTCTTTCAAGCAAGAGTGATGCCGACCTCTATTCCCTTCATGCTCCATATCCCACCTCCATTCCCGAAGAATTCTTAGCAAAAGTCTCTACACCGGTTTGGCACTCCAAAATGGGCCACCCTCACCATCAAGTATTTAATTTCTTTTACAAAAGCACTCTTTATCAAAAATGTTAAATTTATCAAGTTAGTGCTTGTCGTGTCCATTAGGAAAATCTAGTTGTTTGTCTTTTCCTTTATTAAACAACCCAAGCTCGAGTATTTTGAATTTAATTTTCAATAATGTTTGGGGTCCCTCTCCTAGTAATTTTATTGATGGTTTTAAATACTATGTTATCTTTGTTGATCACTTCTCTAAGTATATATGGTTTTACCCCTTACATAAAAAATCAGATGTTTTCAATGTTTTCATTCAATACCAAAATCCGGTTGAACATTATTTTAATTATAAAATCAAACAAGTCCAAACCAATTGGGGTAGGGAATTTCGAGGACTAAATAAATTCTTTCAAAATATAAGAATTGCCTACCACATCATGTGCCCTTACACACATGAGCAAAATGGTAATGTAGAGAGACGACATCGTCATATTGTGGAAACGGGCCTCACCCTCTTAGCAGAGGCTCATGTTCCTAAATAATACTAGACATATGCCTTCGACATAGCTATTTTCCTATTTAATAGAATGCCATCTCCTATCACCAAATATACATCACCTAGTTGAACTCATTTTTAAGAAAAGCCCCGATTAGTCCATTCTAAAAAATTTTATTGTCTCTCGTTTTCGATATTTAAGGCCTTATAACAAACATAAAATTCACTTTAGATTTACACCTTGCATTTTCTTCGAATATAGCCCATCACATATAAGCTATCATTGTTTTGATAAAATAAAAAATCATTTTTACATTGCTCTTCATGTCCGATTCATTGAGTCAATATTTTCTTTTGCATAAATTTATTCGTCTATCTTAAATACAAGTTCGTCCAATGTTTCACTTCGACCATCTCCATCATTCCAACCTAATCGACATCACTTCACTATCCCGACGAGTCAACCACTTCAAAACCCACCTATACAAACCCCCATGGCTAGCTCCCAAACACCAAACACCCATACGGATAGATTAATACTCCACCAATCCGTGACAACCCAAACACTATTCCAAGCTACACCTCCACCTCTCATTATCCCTAACTCTAATAGCGCAAGTTACCACTCACGAAATCCAAGCTACACCTCCACCACATCAAGTATAAATTTATAGTTAGATTTTAGCAAATATGACTTGACTAACCAAGTGTGCAGGTAGTACTACAAATTCATCATATAATGAGGAGTCGAAATGAACCCATCCTATGATTTTGTGGAATATGGGTCCAAAAGCCTCCCTTTTAGTATCTTCTTCAATAATCCCATAAAGTCTTACTTGATATACTAAAGTTAAAAATCATGTGGCATGGAGAGTGGCTATGGAGTCGGAGATAAGTGCCCTCATAAAGACCAAAACTTGGTCCCTAGTCCCCTTTACATAAGCCATGAACATTATAGAGAAAAAGTGGGTCTTCAAAACCAAAAAACATACAGATGGCAACATAGAAAGGTATAAGGCAAGGTTAGTTACCAAAGGTTTTCACCAATCGGAGGGGATTGATTTTGGGGAAACTTTCGAGTCTAGTGGTTAAGCTTGCAACTATCAAAGTTATTTTGTCCTTAGCAGTTTCATATAATTGGCCTATCAAGCATCTAGATCCGTACAATGCATTCCTAAATGGCACATTACATGAAGCGAGTCTATATGGCCCAACTAGTGGGCTTTGTTAACACCCAATTTCCGACTAGGTTTGCAAGCTCCATTGGTCTCTTTATGGTCTTAAGTAGTCTCCATGAGCTTAGTTCTCTTGTGTTTAAGACTTTCTCCTAAATTTCGGGTTTGAGGGGTCTAAAACAGATTCTTCTCTATTTGTCTACAAAGTCGGGGGTTATAGAGCATTCCTGCTAGTCTATGTCGATAACATCATCATCACTAGTGAGCATTCAGCTTTTTTAGAGATAATAATACATGCTCCGAACTCAAAATTTTCCACACGAGACCTTGGGGATATTAGCTTCTTTTTAGGAATAGAGGTGACTAAAGCATTAACGGATATTATGCTTTCTCAACAAAAATATATATATGATCTTCTTGCTAAACAAGGAATGCTTGATTGTCGCCCCGTCACCACACCCATACCCACCACTTCAAAACTAAAAAATGGACATGCCGAATCTTTCTCGGATCGGACTTTGTATAGAAAAGTTATATGTGCCTTCTAATATGCTACTCTAACTAGACCGGACATTGTGTATGCTATGTATAAAGTGTGTCAATTCATGCACTAACCTACTTTAGAACATTGGGTGGTCTGTAAAATGCATTTTGTGATACTTAAAGTACACATATACTTATGGTTTTCACATTCAAAAATCCAACTCTCAACTATTAGCGGGTTTCTCTAATTCATATTAGGTAGGTTCTTCGTATTATAGAAAATCTATAGAGGGTTATGCCATATACTTAGGGTTGAATTTAATCACTTGGAAATCCTCTAAGTAGAAGACAATCCCTCGAAGCTCTACCAAAGCTATCATACATATTGTAGCCAAAATCGATTATTTGGTGTGATACTATTAGAGCCTCTTATTTGGAAATAAACCTAGTGTTCCATACAAGAATAAAACACGTGAAAATTGATTTTCACTTCGTCAAAGACATGGTCACCAGGGGAGCTTGTAAGTAAAGTTCATTTCCACACAGGATCAAATTATAAATATTTTAACCAAACCTATATCCACCGTCCGTTTTGAATAATTGAGGGACAAACTAACTATTGGAACCCACCACAATCAATTTATGGGGGAGTATTAAGGCAAGATCCAACCACACCACACATGGAAGAGATAATCTCTACTCGCGAGTTTATTAGTTATAAGAACTCTGCTATAGTAGTTTGTTAATTACTTGTACTCTCTAGTTCTTATCCATTATATTACCTAGGATTCTAGTCACACTACACTTGTATATATATATATAAAGGACATGTTAAAGTCCTAGCAATATAAGGTTAAAAAATTACTCTTTCAACAAGCATCATACGTTTCAATTTAATGACATCTATACGAGATTCATCACTATTGGTAATGGTGTTGGCTCATAATTTACTCCCTCACTAGTATCCAGAATAAGACCTTATTATCACTATAAGGATATATGAGCCTATATCTAGTGAGCAAATAATATTGGTAATTATTGTATAAGGATTACTTGTCCATTACTCCCTCTTTATTACTATCATCAATAATCATTGTAATATCTAATATCTATAGTCTATGGTTTTTGACTAAATATTATACCATCAAGGTCGAAACAAGAATATAAGCGAGTCATGGCTAAAAAGGTTATGGGCCCATCGACTTGTTGTGTGGCCATATCTTAAAACGATTATATCCAATGATCACCTAGAAGATATTGGTACCAAGGCTTATAGATGTAGTTCAAACGGGTTAAACCTTTTAGAGCTATATGAGAGGGCATATCCTAATTATATTAATAACCCCTCTCATTAATTCCCCTAGCATACCAATAAGGTAGAGATTAGGAGGATTTTATAAGTTTGACATATTATAAATCATGGAATATCTACCAAAAAGTGAGGAATTAGGGAATAACCAAGGCATAGGGGAGTTACAATATACCAATAAGGTAGATATTCATCCATACTCTTGATGATTAACATAATCTCTCAATTAGTTGGGCTATAATATGATTAGAGAGATTATAGTTACATAACCCCGAATCATAAATATACCCAACTCGTTATTTAACATCAAGCGATATATAGAGTTTAATTATGCCACTAAGTTGATGAAATTGACGTATTTCAAATGGATTAAATGAATAAATTAGAATTATTTGTTAGAGTATTTTAATTGCTAAAATAATTATCTCGTGACATAATGAAACATGAGATATTGGCCTAATCATACAAGTGGATATTCTCTTAGATATACTCGTCTCTTACCCATAGACGAGAGGGTATATTCTCGCTAGCACATAGGGGTTATTAAGTCCAATAGATACCATTTGTTACGTATAGGATAAAACTCTATTATATGGTAAGATTTATTATGTCTTCTCAAATGTAAAAAAGGTCACCTAATCGACTAAAAGTTGGAACCAGTTGATATACTTACTAACCATATGATAGGAAAAACCTAGTATGGGACATGAATAATAGATTAATATGGGATCCATAATTTCTCATAACTAAATGGGATATTGTCCCACTACGGTATGTTAATAATAACTCAACAAGGTTCATTTCATTATAAACCTTGACTTATTAGTTGTTTAGTCTCGTTTAAATGTATCCTATATTGGTAATCCTTACAAGTCTCCTAACAAAATATTAATTTAAAATATTGGTATTATTATATTATTATTCCATATTAATAGGATAATCAAAAGTTACATAAATTCAACTATATAAAGTGACTTATTTATCAAATAGTGACTACCAAAGGAAGTCCCAACCATAGATTGAACATCTCTATACCTAACAATGGATAATCATTATGGTTGCCCAACAGTTAACATGAGAATTAACAATATAGAGAAATATTAGTTAATCCCGATATTATATGGATTGATCTAATATCTATAGCCCTTGGTACCAATATATCCTAAGTGATCATAGGATATAATTATGCTCCATAACATCTATATAATATAGGCTCATATGCCAACTCCTCCCCTATATAATACCCATTAATGGGATATGATCATAGTTATGGTTAATGATTATCCTCCCATTTTGAGTTTTGTATGAGTTGATGGCCTATTCTTATCACGTTTGTCATAGATTACCTTACTAGATTGCTACTTATGATTTAATGAATCCAATACCTATGGTAACCATTAATGGTCCCTCTCTCAAATCAATTAAGGGTGATGTATATTAGTTTATCCCTATATTAACATAGCATTATAATTCTAGGGCCATATGTGTATGTATAGTTTGTAGGTTAACATATTAGAGGTCGTTAGTAAGGATGATAGTATTTGCCCCAACAATATCATCATGTTATCATCCTATGCTTACCACGGTTGAATAATATAAAGAAGGAATACACCATCCTCAGCTTTTGTTAATTTTATATTTAGATTTATAATAACCATAGATAATGAGTATAAAATAAGCCATAAAATAATATATTACCATAAAGGAGATTAACCTAAAAATCGTTATTACGCCTATAATTCTAATGTGTAAATGTTAAATCACTCTCATGTTTTCTCCATGTATTAATAGTATGTAATATTAGAAATCCTTCAATTAATTATGGGTCAAATCTAATTTTGGAGAATAAATTATAGTAAGTCTACTAACGAGTTATACATGGAATATTAGTTTTAAATTAGGATAAAAAGATTGTATCTTGTCAATTGGCCAAGTGGATAACATTCAAGAAAAGGGTCCATCAATTGGAATATAGTTACCTTTAACGGATTAGGTAAAATAAAATCCCCTTATGGTCCTCTATGAATATAACCTATTATTGTACTCATTATAGGGTCCTCTCTACATAGCTTTCTACCTAATATATGATAATATGGTATAATTGAAATCATTAATTTACCATATTATCATATATTGATGCCTCTCTAATAATATTAAAATAGATTAATAATATGATAGATTATTTTCTTGGTAATATGATACTAGGCTGTTAAGATATACTGGTATTACACAACTAGGAATATATAAGAGTAATTGTTCCAAAATCTAGATAATATTAAGGGACAAATAGACTCTATCTAGGATGGTAACTAAACTCATATAATCGTAATCTAATATTACGAGTATTAGAAACCTGTTTAACAAAAAGGGATACTATCATATTATTAATCCAGATTTTGGAAAATATATTGGTCAACCAAAGGGAGTTATTTTATAAAGTTGATTTCCTTTGGTGCACAGATTAACTTAACGAGGAGTTATGGGATTCGTGCATAACCCTATCAGATTAATAACCATTCTAATTTACTAGACAATATATAACAATAGCTATCTTCTTAGTACAATATAATTAGCTAACCCAATCCTCAAATACCGTTTGTACCTATATGTTGACCCTATATCTAGAATAGGATCTCTATGTTGGGTTATTAACCAACCAATTATCATAGGATAAGGTCTCATAGGTCATAACC